CATTCTTGAACTAATAAAAAACTGAAAGTTAACAAACTCCCTATATATCCCTTGAAGCAATCAAGTTTACTTATGACGCTGCTGAAGAAAAATCTTGGTAACACAGCTTCAGTGCAAGTGGGATGGTGCAAAACTGGGAATTTATCGTTCTTATTCGAAAGGATTCATGGTTGATTCAATCTTCACAACCGGTCCAACCATCCGAATATACTGTCCTGAGAACCAAATTGCAAATCCTGCAAAGTAGATAAAAATCCAGATACATTAAGATCGTGTTTGGCCCAATCAGCATTTTCAATTCCAAGTGAAAAATAGAAATTGAATTGCCATCATCAAAGAATTCAAAGTAAATAGTACTAATTCAAAACACAATAAATTTTGTTGTAATTATAAATATCGAAGACTAATATTAAAATTAGAACTAAATAGTTATTAGGAATTGAGTGAGAATTTAAACCAAATGCAGTGCAATAATTTGCTTTGGTTTGATTCATATTCAATTTCTATTAGAATATCAGTAGTATGTAAAGCCAGCAAGAAATCTACTTTCATTAAATTTAGGGTAAATAGTCATACACAGGAATTGTAATCAAATCTATATACTAAGATTACTGTATTTAATTTAGTGAAGGAATTGGACCACATAGACAGTAAAGGAAGAAACTAGAAGAATATGAGATGAATCTTACAGAAAGGAGAAAATCCGGTGGAGTATCCAGTTCGAGGTTTTCAAGGTCAGCAATCCCGAAGGATGCATTATTATTTCCTATCATCTCATTTGTGTTGTGTGGAGTGCCGGTGCATGAAGCGTAATTCAGGCCTGCATTATTAGATAAAGAAGAAGAATCGAAAATCTCCTGACACAACAAAGTTTCGTCTATGCCATCGATATTGGAGTTTTCGAGAGCTTGAGATTCGCCTGCCAACCATAATGAATATCCCTCACTATCCTCATGCTTAATAGTTGGTGCAGGATCCTTACATACTTCAGATACTTCAACATTCTCTGATCTCTGATCCACAAAAGTAAAACTTCAGCAATGAGATAAATTTACTTAACATAATTTTTCCTTTCACAAATTTTTTCTTTTTTAAGAAGGCAGAGAGCAGGATGACCAGGGCTACAACAGATCACAAATGCACTTTACATAATTCTAATATCCAATTCCATATGGCAACACCAAAGGATCCTGATCACTCCAGAAATGAACAATTCATTAAAGCACATATCCTGTGTTTAAAACCTTAGCATAGAGTTTAACTCTAGAATCTACTTTTAGCATCACAGTGATTCCCCTTGTTAAGTTTAATATGCCTATTCCAACAGACAAACTGCTTAAACAAAGATCTTCATTTACCACCTTTGCCAGCAAAAAATGATAGATAGCCAAAAACTATGTACCTGTGCAGATGAATGGAGTATGATGTCATCAAAGACATCGTCATACACCACCGAATTCCCTGGCGTAGGTGGATCAGGAGGATTAGGTTTTGGGGTCCTTGGACTAGTTCGAGGGTCCTCACGTATTATATTTTCATCAGTCTTTTCAGTTTGTTTCTGCTGCTGGTAGAAAATCTTCGAAACCACATGTTCATCGTCCTTCTCTTCCTCTTCCTTTCCCAGATGGAACTGATACATTACCCAGTTAGTCTTCTCAGCCTTCGCCCCCTTCTTTGAACTTTTATAGAGAACCATGATCTTCTTGCAGCCCTTCTGTTCCCCATTTTCCATGACAGGTTTGGTCTTACCAGTCTTGTGCCAGCGGACTTGCTCCTCACTCAAACTACCTTGATAATGGATCTTGCGACGCTTCCGCTGCCCTGTGGAATAAGCATTAACTGTTCTATGAAAGAAATAAATGCTACTCCCATCTTTCTTAGCACCTGAAACAAAAAGTCACATATTGACGATCACGGTTAGGCAGGCACCTTCACAAGGTTGAACATGCTCATCAAACCCAAAAACGAATTCCAATATTCAAAAGAACTAAAACTCAGTTTGGTTCAAATTTGAAAATAATGAAGAGACTATGATAGAGATAGAATAAAGATTTGAATACAAATAGTATTCTAATTTCAAGTTCATTCCCTGTTTAATTCAAGTTAGTTTTTTTGTTATCACTCCTCTGACAAAAGTGGGAATACAAATGCATCATATATTTTTAGTGTAGTTGATATCGTTACGCATCAAATATGCAGATTATGACAATTTTTACATATCAAGTGATTAACATCTAAGAATGGAGTAAGAATAGAGTAGACTTGAGATGCAACAGAACAAAGCCTCTATCAGAACAAGGGTGCCAAAATCTCTTTTTCATCTTTCACTCAAAAAGATATTACTCTCTTTACTAAATTCATTTTTATTTGGTTCTTTCGATTTCATGACAGATATAGTAATCAAGAAACTAGCGGGAATAGTTCTAATAGGAAGAAACATAAGAGCATGGACCAATATGTTCCTCACCAGGAAGATTTTCTGGATGGGTATAGTAGATTCCTTTATCCCCTTCAAGTGTTGGGATAAACTCCTCTATAAACATGTGGGATTCCGAGTTCCCAACCCCACATTTTGCAGCTAAATGTTCTAAGAGTTCCTGATCAGATGGATCAAACTTTACACCAGCTGGTAGACCAGGCCACTCAGGAGAAACCTACATTCGATAAAGTGCAGATAACATATGAATAACACAGAGACATAAACACAACAGATATATATAAGAACCAAATCAAACACATGCAATATAAACTTCCATGAAAAGTAATTCATCTATTCTTCTTTTCAGTTCCATGAGGATGGAGAATTGATTACACGGATAACTTACTTTTTTAGCTGTAAGTAGGAAAAAAATCAAGATCTGTTGAATCTTCAATCTCTACGTCAATGTGAAACAACCTTACGCTAAGAACTACTTTTAGAATTGCAATGATAGATTTTGTCACAGTAACTAAGTAAAACTGCAACTCTTTAACTTACATCTTTGTTATCAATAAGATAGTGGCAGTTAGGACATTCACGATTTGCCCCGCTGTCTCTAATTTGATGAGCCAAACATTTTGTGGCGCTGCTTACTTTCTTTGCTAATCCTCGACCATCAATAATCCAAGCCCTGCAGCTATGATGAACTATAAGCTCGAAGTTCAATGGTGAGGAAAAGAAAACCGAAACAAAGAAAAACTTTACAAATGAAAAGCAGTTTGTAACCAGGCATGGAGCATTAAACACACATCAAGAATCAAGGCTTTCAACTTATTAAAACACATTGCAGAAGAAATAAATTTTTGCTGCAAACAGGGACAATCCACAATCATGTCGCCAAGAGCAATTGACATAGTAATTTTGATCAATCTCCCGTCAAATATCAATTTACAGACATTATAAATTAG